CACATTCTTGAAGCTCTGTAGTAATCTTTGTTTTTTTGGTTGGTTGTTTCTTTCATTGTTTTTATTTTCTCAGTAGTAATTTTTGAACAAGGGGGCCCCTGCTTCCATTTGGTATCTTGCAAAACGATTGGGTAAATTATATAAATTATTGCATAATTAGCTCGCCATAGATGATCTCATTGAATCTCACACGTCCCTGAGAAATGACTATTATCCTGTTTCCCTGGAGGTATAGGAGGGACCTGAAGCCCAGAGAAAAGCAGTCATTTACCTAAGCCACACAGCTGGGAAGGCTTGAGAATTTGTACCCAGGTCTGCCAATCTCCAAAGTACTCATAGCACACTGCCTCAGTTTCACTGGAACGTTTATAGTATGTTCTGGTCTCGGGAGGCCTTGTGCTGGGGAAGTGTGTCGGGACCCTGAGGATACCGGAGGAGGAGGGTGAAAACTCAGCCAAAGCAGAGCTACCCATCGCAGGTACTTCCTCACTGTTCGCTGTTCTGTTGGGGCCAGATTGAGTCAGGCAGCAGGACACGCTCTTGTTTGGAAGGACACCAAGAGTGTGGCGCAATCTCGCCTCAGGGCAGACTTTGAGGTTTTAGCTCTTATGGCAAAAAAACCTCGTCACAGGCAGCCCCTGTGCAATGCCCAGTGTTTCTGAAGTTCTTCCTGTTGGCCACTCTGCCCTTCGATATTGCAGGGAGGAGTGAGAGTCGGCAGACCTCAGACTGTGACCACCATCTGCCTGGTGCCTTACAAGGATGTAGATGAGAAGGGAGCGGTGATGGAGATAATTAGAATGCATAATTTATTTTTTTTGGAGAGGTTTTTGCTATAGGGCACGTGCGCTCGCCAGAGAGAGAAAGACAGAGAGACAGAAAGTAAGAAATCACCCCCCAGGGTTATGGCCACGCCGCAATCCCTTCTCCTCCATTCTCGGGATTTTGGGCATGCACGCACACATGCCCGGCGTGATTTTCAGCCACAGAGTCTGGGACTCGAACCGTAGTCAACTACATGGGAGTCCAGCGACATAGCCATTATGCTAACCACTGGTCCCTAGAATGGATAATATTAACCAGGTACTTATGGTGCCAGACAACTTATTTATTTATTTGTTTAGAGATATTTTTGCTATTAGGGCACGTGTGCTCACCAGAGAGACAGAAAGCGAGAAATAACCTCCCAGAGGGGATGGCCACACTAGTCTCTTCTCCTCCATTCTCTTCCCGGGATTTATGGGATGCACACACACGTGCCCAGCATGAGTTTTAAGCTGCCAGGTCCAGGACTCAAACACTGTCAACTACATCAGCTGCCTTTGGGGACCTGAGGTAACGAGAGAGCAATTACAGTTGAGAGCGCGGTGGGCAGTAGGAGAATGCAAGATGGAGGAGATGGCGATCGCATCGCTTTGCCTTTGTGTGATGGCAGGCACACTTGTGGGCCGTCTGCGTGTATTGTCCTCGTTGAAGTTTCCCCACACTCCTACGAAGGAGGCTCTTCTTATCCCTTTTTATAGATGAAGAGCTCCAGGCGGGGTCACGTTGTTGGCTGAAGGTCACAGAGAAAGGGAACCTGTGATCCTAACTCAGTTCTGCCCTCCGGAGACAGCACAGACTGAGGGCTTGTGGGAGCCCCGCCAAGAAGGGTGCTTGTGATAAAGATCGAGAGATCAATAAGATCTGGGGGCAGGAAAGGAAAGGCATTTCGGGCAGTGGAAACAGCAGGAACAAAGGCAGAGAGTGGGACTGTGACCCAGCATGGACTCTGGGTGAGTGTGGCTGGAACACAGTGCGGGGAGCAGCAGGACCCACGGGCCTCCCAGGTGGACACTGAGTTAATCCAACAGGTGGCCTAGAACCTCACACCCCCCTGACATATTTTCATCAGGACCTCCAGGTCTTGGAGATCCCACCCCCAGCCAGATAATGCCTGGCTGGGCTGCCTCCTGCTGGGATCCTGCAAAGTTATTCTCGTTTGCAACTCCAGTTCCCCTGGCCATAAACAGGGCTTTGCAATTGAAGCATCACGTGGAGAGGAAACAAGCCTGCCCCCTGTTCTCAGCTTAAAGCCTGCAGTGGCATCCACTGCCCTGAGGTCTAAGAACAGTTCCCCCGATTCAGCCTACAAGGCCCTGCTGATCTGGCCTCTAACCCTTCGCCCAGTCTCCCTCGCCCTCCTCGTGCTCCTATGGTTGGATGCTCTCTGCCCAGAATACTCTGCCCCTGCACTGGGCCTGGCCAACTCCCCTTATCCTTCAGCTTTCGCCCTGTATGCTACTTCCTCAGGGAGCCCCAGAGAGCTGGCCCAGGGTCCTGGGCTCAGATAGCTACTCAAGGCAGCCGGCTGTGCTTCCCCTCGTGCCACATTCGTTGTTGCCAGCCCCTCACGCAGGTGCCTGGCTCTCCCTCTAACAGCGACTCCGCCCCCGGGGGTGTACAGTTGCTCCTGCCCCCCACCCCTAGCACCAGGCCCGGCAGATGTCACTCTAATGATACAGCGGAGCAAGGGGTGGAGAGGAGTGGGCTGACACAGCGAGGGAGGCACTTTATAAACGCCCCGTGCCCTGTGGTGCTTTTCCATCCTTGTGCTTCCCCTGCCTGCCTCTGTCTGCTTTCCTGTGAGCTGCGGGTAAGTGGAGCCTCGCCTGTTTCACAGGCCAGTGCCTGAAATACAGGGGCGATAGCTGATGTCGAGGACACTAGAGGAAACCCCATGAAATGATGGTGAGACGCTTCTTTGTGACTCGGGAGTGTTGCCTCTTTAAAACTCTGCTCCAGTGGCCAATTATTTCTCTCAGCCCACCTCCTCTCCCGCAAAGCCAGCCTGATTAGCCCTGTGTTTAGTCCGTCCCGCAGAGGGACACGCTGGGCCGGCTGGATGCTGGCCTCATTCTGCAGAGCAGGAGGAATCCTTGCTAAGCACACATCAGTCTGCAGCCAGCTTTGGGTTTAAGGGGCTTCTCCCTGCGGTCTGGGTTAACCTTTGCTTTCTGGCTGCCGGCCGCCCACCATCGCCTCTCTGCACCTGTGCTCTTCCCAGCCCTGGTGCTGCACCTGGGCTTCATCTGGGCCACCTGGTGATTTCCGGGCACCTGCTCCAAAGTAGGGACCCTAACGAGCCTAGGACCTCCTGCTGAGGCTCCCAGGACATCTGGAGATCCTCAGGGCCTGGAGAGCTGCAGAAAGGAGCTGCCTGGTAAGAGCTATTAGTGGATGGGAGAGAATCTCAAGCCATTTGGCAAACTTTCTGTTACCCCGTGGACTGTGGGGGCTCTTCAGAGGCAGGTCTACACTCAGAGCAGGGGGACACATGGCTTCCTGTCTTCTGTTGTCCTGGAGCTTTTGGAAGCATTGGGGGTAGGCAACAGGACTGAAGGAAAAGCTGGAGAGCCAGATTTGAGGAAACACAGACCCTCTAGGATGTGGGTGATAGGATCCGCTGGGCAGAAACAGCTGGTCCCACTGCTGGGATGTGTCCATGTTCCGACTGCGGCACTGGTTGAGATCCCAGGACAAGCGTCCCTCTGCTCGCCCCAAGATCCGCACCCACCCTGACTGGGAGAACAGAGAGCCCACACTTGGGTGGTTGTTGCACCATGGCTGTATATATTAGGAAAGGTGGGCTATAAGGCAAAATTGGGGTGTCATCACTACAGAAAGGAGTAATGGATGCTAAGCAGGCAAAGAATTGCCGTGATAGCCAGGTCTCCTGGTTATCCTTTTGGGCATGCACACACATGCACCCTGCCACTCCTCCTGCCCTGGCACTAGAACCTGGAAAGGCTCGCAGGTGGCCAGCCCACCCCTGCCTGTTTCAGAGACTTGAGCTCCAGTCTTCAGCGTGTCAAAAATCCACCCAGTCATGTTCTTGGAGTAAGGCTGGCTAGCTGTGTCTTCACAACTCTCTCTAAAACCATCTTGACCTCCTGACACTGGCTGGCGCCATGCCATGAGGTCCGCAGAAGAGGCCTCTCTGGTTGGGAACAGGTCCTGATGCAAATATGTCAGGCTAACCCACATGGGAAGGTTTCAGGTTTGTATCCAGAGACCTTCCTGGACACTCCATGCATGCACATGCTCGTGATCCAGGCTGGTTGATACCTGGAGTAGACGTGCATGGGGACTCTAATGGGAGTGCCTTTCTCTCTCTCTGTCTCATGAAAGAAAGAAATGAATCAACTTTTTTTTTTTTTAGGGGGGGTTTGCCCTAAGGTACACATGCTCGTCAGAGAAAGACAGAGAGAGAGAAAAAAAAATTGAGAAATCATCCCCCTAAAGGGGATGGCCACACAGCAATTCTGTCTTCTCCATTCTCCTCTCGGGCTTTTGAGCATGCACGCACATGCCCCCTGTGTGATTTTCAAGCCCCTGGGTCTAGAACAAAAACCACAGTTGGCCACGTGGGAGCCCAGCACCTTAACTACCACTACACTAGCTGGCCTCAAAAAGAATCAACTTTTAAAGTAGATCTTAAGGTGCCAGTGGTAGCATGGTGGTTAAGGCAGCTGGATCCTACGTGGCCAACCACACAGTGTGAGTCCCAGACCCAGAGGCCTAAACATGCCTAACACCTAGAGACGTGTGTATGCATGGGAGAACAGGGAGACAGGATTGTTGGATGACCCTGGGGGCTACTTTCTCTCCCTACCTCCCTCTCTCTGTTTTTGTGTCCAGCAAGCATACATGCCCTATAGCAAATTTTTAGAAAGGTGACTTGTAGAAACAAAATCTTTAAAGAGGCTAATAAAATGTCATCAGTACTGGACTCCTCCTGCAACTCTGGTAGGCTGGCGATCACGGAATGCTGTCCGCAGAAGAGGCCTCTCTGGTTGGGAACAGGGCTGCAGATCGCCACTCCACTCACTGGGCAGTCCAGAGCAAGCCCAGTTCTCAAGAAACCACCCAGAACTGGAGCAGAACTCTGGTTCTGCTGGGGCTCTGGTTCCCCAGCTCTGCTAACATCTATTCCTAACTGGAATGGTTTCTCTTTGCAGCAGAGAAAAACACCTCTGGAATGATAAGCCGCCCTTCTCCAGGGAGGATGGAGTGGATCATCCCTCTGATTGTGGTATCAGCCTTGACCTTCGTGTGCCTCATCCTTCTCATTGCTGTGCTAGTTTACTGGAGGTGAGTAAGTGGCCAGTGCCCGCAGAGAGGTTGTGGGTGCCAGGCGCGGCCAGGTTGCACTCACAGGGGGTGGGGTGGGGGGGAGCCATGGCCTCTGGGTTCAGAAAGGTGAGGAAGCTTTCCTGATTGTGTGTCTCCACCTGGGAGACCTTCTAGGCTCCAGAAGACACCTGTAGGCCAGAGCCACTTTTGGGGTCAAGGCACTTAGGGTAAGCTTCTGGGATTTAGCACCAGGGAGGATTTTGCCTGAGAGTCTGAGAGATCTGAGTTCAGATCCCGTCTGCTAGTTGCCAACTTCAAATCCCATTCCCACACTGAACTTTAGTTTCTGAACCTCCAAAATAAAAAGTTTCAGAGCATTTTCGGTGTCTCTGAAACCATGCTTTATTTTGTGGTATTCATATAATAACGCTTCTTTACCTTAAAATGTTTTCTTTTTTTTTTTTTTTGATGAAAATGAAATCGGGTACTGGGGAAACATGTCGCATGTTGTATGGCATCGATACACGTAAAGCGGCAGACTGTAAGCCCTCTTGCTGTCATCCTTGACCTTGAACTGGTTCTCACCGCCTCCCACGGAAGGCAGTCTGCAGCCTCTGTCATAGGTCCAGGTGTGTGTCCGGGTACACGTCTCATACAGCTCGGCTGACGGAGTCAGGCTGGCCCACTCGGTGGCCTGTCTCAGGCTAATGGAGGCAGCGTAAGAGAACCCGCTATCTAACAAGCTCAGTGAGAAACAGGTGTCCGGTGCCCATCTCTCCCTCCCTCCTGTCCGCTCATTCCATTGATTTTGAGCCCCTGCGATGTGCCTGAAAAATGAACAAGCGAGAGAACAGTCCTGGCTTTTATGGAGTGTACGTTGTAGTGGAGGAGACAAGCAACAAAAGAAAGCAGAGGAATCAACATTTCATTCCTAAGATGGCGTTAGGTGTGTAGCAGAGCACACGAAATCTAGAATCGGGCTGTGGGTGAGAGTTCAGAGCGGTTGAGGACAGCCTCCTGGGAAATACTTGAGCGTAAAGAGAAGGGAACCGAATGGGCTGCACTGGGGGAAAGTTCCCAACGGTGGAAATGTCACATGCAGAGGCCCTGAGGCAGGAGCATGCCTTGCATGTTCCAGGAGCAGCAGGCAGTCCGAGTGGCTGGAACACGTGGGTACAGAGGAGACTATGGTAGAATGCGGGGGCCAAAAGAAACAGAGTAGGGGAGGAGCTGGACATGTCCAGTCTTGTGGGCCAATGTAAACACCCCGCCTTTGCCCTGGGATGAGTAGGGTTTGGCTCAGGCCAGTGTTGTGATCTGACCTCAGGATCACTCGTCTGCTGTGTCAAACACAGACTGAAAAGGAGTTGAGGCAGAAGCAGAGGCCATGGGGAGGCTGCAGAACTAGTTCAGGAAGGAAGTAACTGTGGCTCCAAGGGGGCGTGGTGCCCGTGGTGACAGCTGGCGTGCAGGTGTAGTGAAGGTGGGATCGGCACGCCTGCTGACAGACTGGCTGTGTGTGTGTGAGTCCGTTCTCAGCTGGAGGGGACAGGGAACAGGAAGAGGTTCTCCGGTGGTCGGACAGTCACTGTAGGCCTGTTAGTGCTGCAGACCAGCTGCAATCGGAGGTGCACTGTGTTTGGGGGTGAACACAGGTGCACCAGAGTCGTCTCCGTGTCATGTCTTTGCCAGGAGAAAGTGGTCTGCAACCAGGTGTTTTCAGCAGCCACTGGTGAATGGAGGCTGTGGAGTGAGCGTCTAACTGAGCGTATCAAATAACAAAGGTCCACTTGCCCACATCCTGGCTCTGCTCGCTGCTGTGTGTGGTAGTCTCAGAATCTCCCACTGGGGAAGGAGGTCCACAGCTGCCCGGGTGGATGATCCTCACTTAGCAAGCCCAGCATGAAGAAGTTCATTACACCAAGAAGTTCTAACAAAAAGTCAGGACTGGGCCTGCAGGCAGCATGGAGGTTAAGGAGGCTGGATCCCACATAGCCAGCCCTGCAGTTTGAGCCCAGACCCAACAGCTTGAAAATCATGCCAGACGCATATGTGTGTGTGTCTAAAGTCCCAAGAGGAGAATGGAGGAGGAGGGATTGCTGTGTGGCCATCCCGCCTGAGGGATGATTTCTCACTTTCCCTCTCTGTCTCTGTTTCTCTCCAGTGAGCTCATGTGCCCTTTAGCAAAAATTGAAAAACAAAAACAACTAAGGACTGTTCTTGATTGCCCTTTGTCTCCTCTGCCAACCCCTGAACACATCATGGTGACCAGGAAGGAGCACAGACCTCATGGCCACAGCCCAAGTTGCATGGTCTCCAAGGGAAGGCCGTGCAATGTAGGAAAGAGAGCTTTAAAATCCTTCCCTTCAGGACCAGCAGATGGCGTAATGGTTACGTCGCTGGACTCCCACATAATCAACTGCAAGTCGAGTCCCAGACCCGGTGACTTAAAACTCACTCTATGTGGGTGTGTGCCCAAGATCCCGAGAGGAGAATGGAGGAAAAGGGGTTGCAGCCTGGTCTTCCCTCCTGGGGGGTGATTTCTGGCTTTCTGTCTCTGTCTCTCTGGTGAGCGCACATGCCCTATAGCAAATATCTCTTAAAAAAAAAAAACCTTCCCTTCAGTATATATTTTCCCTGTAGAGAAGTATGTGTGCCCTATAGCAAAAACGTTAAAGAAAAAAAAAAAACAAAACTGGAGCTGGACAAGGGTTTCCCAAAGGACATGAAGGTCCTAAGACGATTGACTGAGAGATTTGGCTCGGCGTTCTGTTATTGCAGTGACCACAGAGCCTTCTCTACTGTGGCACGGGCACCAGAGCCATCCGCAGCTCCCTACTGTGGCTGCAATGTGTGCACAGCACAGTTCCCGTCACATGCCACACCGGCCTGCTGATTCAGGGAGGAGGTCCCTTGGTCCTTGGAGTCCACTGGAAGAGGCAGATGAGTAAATCCAGTAGAGTACGGTGAGCGTTTGGAGAAGTGTCAGTCCAGGTTGCCATGAGAGCACAGAGGCCGGGCTTCAGCCAGCCTGGAGCGGGGGCGGGTCAGAAGCAGCTCTGGGAGGACAGATGTCAGCTGTCTTGAAGCACAAGCAGCTGTAGGCCAGGTCAGGAGAGTGCGGAGGAATGCGGTTGGAGAGAGGAGGCCTGGCCTACTGCAAGCAGATACATGCCATCTGTGTCACAGAGTGTGGGGACAGCCAGGGGCTCTGATGCCCCCAAAGGGATATGTGTCTTACCCTGAGAATGACAGGAAGGTGCTGCTGGAGCCAAGCTGCAGGCAGGCACGGTCGGGAATCGGCGGTACTGTGGAGTGTTTAAGGGAGAACACAGAGCAGAGCCGTGGAGTCCAGATGCCAGCCCCTGTTCCACCCCGCCCACCACCTCTGTACCCATAGGCCATGGGTTCTTTATTTTATTTTATTTTCGAATAGGGCATGTGCACTCACCAGAGAGACTCAGAGAAATAAGCAAGAAAGCGCCCCCTGGGAGGGATGACCCCTCTGCAATCCCTTCTCTGTTCTTCTCTATTCTCCTCTTGGGATTTTAGGGCATGCATGCACACATGCCCAGAGTGTTTCTCAAGCTGCCAGGTCTGAGACTTGAACCGTTCAGTCGGCCATGTGGGATTCAGCCACCTTAACCATCATGTCGCCTGCTGGCCCTGGAGCATACATTCTTAACAGGAATGCTGTTGCTCCCGAGGGGTGACAATTGGTTCTGTAGAAGTTAAATGAAAAATTCCTTGTATGTAAAGCACAGATTTAGACAGACAGACAGACAGGTGCACATACAGGTATACTGTGTATTAATAGTATTAAATTGAGTCAGGAGTGGGTAGTTATGGGAGAAAAATGTCTATAAATGTCCCCTTAAAGGGGACAGCAGTGAAAAACAGATCGGAAAACACTGTCTTAGATGAAGACTTCCCACCATCTCTACAATTTCCTTTAGAGTTCATTCCTTCAAATGCTCTCAGTTGGGCAAAGTATTTATCCTAGAAATAGCGAGAAGTCATCTGTTTGGAGCTAAATATAATATAAATGTAGGTCAACCAGTAGAGCAGAACCACTTGGAACAGAAAAGGAAAGGACTGACTATAAAGTTAATGAAATTGGTTTGGGTGATGCTCCGAATAGCCCTGAAGACAATTCCAGAGGAAGCCATCCCTAAATAACGAGGGTAAAGGTAAGCCACTCTGCCCAGCACGAACCCGGGCATCAGCTGTGAAGCTCAGAGTCCAGCCTCATTAATTCAGCCTGGCTGTCAGAGACTGTCTCCATTTCCTGCAGACATACCTCAGTAGCCTGCCCACACAAACGCTTATTTCTCACCCTCCTGACGTCTGCCAGGTTAGGTAGCCCTCTTCCACCAGTGGCTCCTCTTTCTGGGACACACGTTTCCTAAATTACTGCAGCAGAGGCAGAGAGATGGAGGCACCCAGCCCTCAACAGCTTGTCTGGAAGTGGAACCTTTCACTCCCATTGGCTCACCACTGGCCACAGACAGCCACACCCTCGGCCCAAGGACACAAGACGAGGTAGGGGAGCGCACACAGATTTGAGCAGCATCCCCGCAAACGTCCTCACGTATTTAGACGCGTTGGGATCACAGGGTTAAGAGTATGTTTTCTGAATGAGAAAACTTTGGAGGTGAGTTGTTAGTTTCATTATCTCAGTGTTGGCTAGAACTAAAAAAAAAATACAGGTGGAGGTCTCAGGTACACTGAGGAGCTGAGAAATTTATATTAAAATGTTGTTACCTGAGATGGTAGAGCTAGATGCTGCAATTCTCTCTTGCATGTTCCTTATAGAGGTTTCCCTTGAAGTGAGGTGGGAACCAAAATCTGTAACCTGGAACCAAGCAAATGTTGCTATGAAGCTGGGAAGAATTGTGTGCAGAACGGCTCCGGATGAGGGTCAGGGTGACAGGGCAGCTAGTAAAAATAAAATTGACCAACAATTACAGCTTGTCTTCTTTTATAAACAGTGCCCTGCTGTGAGCCTTAGAAATTCT